CCTCTGTCGTCCCAAGCCAGCTCTTAACCAATGCGCCACTCGGCTGGCCCTAATTTGTCCTTTAGAACTTAGTTCAGGCATCACCTACCAGGAAGCCTTTCCTGGCCCCACTCAGAGGCCCACATCAGGTTAAGATGTTCCATCTATGGAGAACACTGGCCAGTATCTTATATTCTACTGTAAATGTCTGTTGTTTCTTATTGTCTATAGGAAAAGACTGGTGTCTTATTCATCTGGTAGTGCTGGCACCTGGAAGAGCTCACATATAGTAGGTGCTCAACAAACATTAGGTCTTTTTCCTTTCCTCCCTTAAGAAACTTGGCCAAAGTCATACAGCTAAAAAGTGATGGCACTGTGTGTTAACCAGACTAAAACTAAAACTAGAAAGGAGAATTTCTACAATGCCATGCTACTCTCCAACCCAGAGAGATGCCATTATTTTCACTGATGACTTATGACTGATGATTTAGTTCTGGAAAATAAAACATGCACTAACCTGTGCAGTGATTGGTGGCCCAGCAAACAAGGCCTTGTATGCAGAGGCAGCAACGGACAAAGCCCCCTTTACCAGTCCTCCAGCAATGCTGCTCCCATGGTGGTGGTGCCTGCCGAGGAAAACCAAATGATCTCCCTAAAGATACATAAACCATTATCTTCCTATAAGATAGTGTCTAACTCTTGAAAAAAAAACAAACCAAAATTTCCTTGAGAAAAAAAAACATGTAAAAAAAGAATGTGGAGTGACTGGTTAGCTCAGTTGGTTAGAGCGTGGTGCTGATAACACCAAGGTTGCCGGTTCGACCCCCGCATAGGCCACTGTGAGTTGCGCCCTCCTTAAAAGCGTCAACTATGCCACTGTAGCATGAAAGCAATGTGTGTAACCAATGACCATGGCTGTTGCCCAGTTAAAAAAAAAAAAAAGAGAGAACACAACTGTTTTCATATCAGTTTTATAGCTAGAAATCTTGGATTGATGGAGGGCCCAGCTCTACTACCGTAAGATATGGGCACTGCAGAAAATATGCCCGTCTGGTGAGCATGCCAGCTTTCAATCCTAGCTGAAAATTAATGTGGTCAAGGGCACAGTGGGGCATTGGTAGTCTGTCTGCTCAATTATCATCTCAGAGGAAACACCTCCCAAAAGAAATGTGATTTTCTGGACACTGCCGGGAGGAGCCCACCTTGATAATGCTCTGAGGTGACTGGGAGCAGAGAGGCAGGTGTATCTGAGAAAAAGTTCCTAAGATGCACAGTGGGCTTGACCTTCCTGCCTTCTCCTCTGGTCCTAAGGGTGACTTGAATTTGAGGGCACTCTTTCTGGTCTGGAATGTGAACACTCTCAAACATCAACTTTAGCTCTCTGTTCAGTGTTGCTCACGAGTTTTAGGAGAAATAAGAATGATGGCTCTCCCCTGCTCTCTGGAGTGGCACATGCTCTGAGACTTGCTTAAGCAGAAGCAACACTAGGATATCCACTTGCTTTTGAAGAAGAGGCTGCACAAGGTCCAATTACCTTGAGTGGTCATAGCTTCTCTGTCTGCTGTTTACAAGTCCTGATGAGCCTCTGGGCTCTAAAAGCAAAAGAGCTGTTGGTTAGATGCAGCATCCATAAGCGCCTAGTGTTTCCTACCGCACAGCAAGGCTATTTTTGAGGCAGGTGGCAATCTGATCAGTGTCTAAAGTTTTGTTTTTGCTTTTTTAAACATTTGGGAAATTTTTCAGGTGGTTTAAGTGATAAGGAAAACTGTCCAGAATGCAATGCAAGGTGACTGTTTACTGAATCTGGAAAGTTAATTCTACGATCCTAGCATACTGATTTGTTAATTATTAAGTACTTTTAGGTCTTGTTTTTTGAGGAAGAGTGGGAAGTTACTTTGAGGGTCTATTCACAACTTCAAGGCACTATTCTCCTTATTTGGTAGATAAGGAAACAGACCTGCAGGTGTTATAAACCTGCTGAACCACTGCAAGCTCACACAGTGAGGAAACATGGAGCTGGGGCTGGAACCCAGACTGGTTTGGCGCCAAAGCCTGTGTTCTTTCCACTGTGGCACAATGCCGACCTCTATGAGGTCTCATTTAAATAAATATTAAGCTAGAGAGTAGGAAAAAAAAAAAGAGCATGAGGGAGAACAGAAAGAGTGAAAGGGCAACTTTCAAAAAGCTGCCAAGAATCACAAAGGTAGAGTGCCTCTTTTATACCTGGTTTCCATTAAAAGGGAGCATACAAAAAGAGAAAAAGCTCAGACTGGTCATTACCTCCTCTGATCTGATCAGGGACTGAAGAAACTTCTGGTATGGTAACTGGTAAATCCACTCCTGGGGAGCCATGACGCTGTGCACAAGGAGGGCTCCTTCAGAAAGACACAATATTGAAAGTAAGTTGAAAAGGCACCCGTGGTAATGGCGAGGAAACAGTCAACACAGCACAGCAGTGCCAAGTTCTCTACAGAGGCTTCACATTTCTGATCCAGATCACATGTCTGAATTTAGGGATCAGGTGAGAAGGGCTTCTTCCCCTTCTGGTTTTCCTCTTCAGCCACAGTCAGGCTAGAAAGACTGGCTTCAGTCTAGTCACTTCGCCCAACATTAAGTGGCGCTGATAAAGGGAAATGTCTAGCTCCCTGGGAGAATGGTTTTGATTCAAGGTTTCACCCTTTTCCATACTGTGAGAGAGCAAGGACACACACAGATCTAGTAGAGAATTAAAAATAACTTCTATCTGGCTTTATAGTATCCTTCTTCCATAACAGATTAAACTTCCTAGTTATACTTTGCGTTAATATGAAAAGGAGTTTCTGCTGCCTTTGCCCCTGAATCAACACAACAAGGAGGGAAGGTACAGGGATGTTTATATTTAAAAATTGGCTCTCCACAATCAAGACATAAGTAGATAGATGACACTCAGGTAATTAAGGTTAACTAAAATAAGTATTTCTTTGAATCTAGGATCCACAAATAATGGAAGTACAACTTTTATTCATCTAAATTCAAGACTTTACTATGGGAAAGTTTCTTCCCATGCTGACAGAAAACACAGGTTTTGAGATCAAGTTGATTCCTCTCTCTTTATTCCACCTCTGAAGAACAACCCAGCTGAGGGGGTTGTGGATGGTACCTGGGCAGCCGTGATGAAGGCCCCACCACCTCTGGGGTTAGGGGCACTGTGTCCAGAGTCTGTGAGGTCATGAGGATGTCATTGATGCTGTGCCCCTGCGGCTGGTTCTCCCCTTCAGGGGGTCTCTCCCTCGCCTCAACTGGTTCCTGCCCAGCCTCAACCCTAGGCTCGCCTTCAGCCCCTCGTTCCAGGCCTGGCTGCGAGAGCGCGGAGCTGTACATGGAGTCCCCCAGGGGGCGGCTGGTGTCAAAGCACTCAGGCAGGATGATGATGTAATCCTCTGAAGAAGCAGAGGACTGACTCTGAACTTCATCTTTGAGTTCATCCTCCTCCTCATCCTCTTCTTCCTCCTCCTCCACGACAGCTTCTTTCTCAGCGATATGGACGATCTCTTCTCTCTCGTCTCCAAGTGGTCCCTCTTCAAGCGAGGCAAATTTCACTAAAGGATGAAAGCAACCAATTTTAAGGTGCAAGCTAAAAGCAGCCCCCGGTGCTATGCTTATCTGATGAAGCCTTGTGGGTCATGAGCTACAATTATGGAAGTCAGAGGAGAGGGACAAATTAGAGGGAAGGGCTGCTGCTGGAACCATAGTCATGGCCATATTCGAAGTCTGAAGCCTATGCAAAGCTGGATAGAACCGAAGCTCACAAAAAAAAAGGTAGGCAGAAATATCCAGGCATCTGAGAAACACTATGAACCTTAAAACAAGGAGGCCCCATCCCTTTTCCTCTTCACATGTGGTTAATGTAACGAGATAGGGGGCAAAACAAAACTGATATTCTAGCTTACAGTGCTATAAAAAGAGAAACTGTTAGGTGGTGAATATTGGAGGACTAGATGCCTACTTTCCTCCTCTTCTTTGCAAAGTAATGAGTAGTCATGGTAGAAAATTGGTAAAACATAGCTGAGGGAAAAAAAGTACCTATAATCCTAGAGATAACTACTTTTGGTATTAAGTCCTTCCAGGGCTTTTTGTTATGTATTTGTACATAAGTGTGTGTGGGGAAATAATGCGTAAATAAAAGTGAGACAAATCATATAAAGGTATAGGTCAAATTTCATTACAATAAACAAGAGACTTCCTGTATTATTTTGATGAACTTGAAAACTGAATTTTTGGATAGTTCTTGAAATACATAGTATTGGTTCTACCTATCTGCTACCTAGAAATTTCTGTTACAAAGGAAATTATTACAGCAGAATTTAACCTTGAGAAACTTGGTATTCCTGCTTCTGCCCACTATTTCCTGGACTGTTGCCCTTGGAGAAAGGAGACAATGCAGCTGCTAATGGTTTCTGCTAAGGAGCTCGGTCAACTTACAGGAAGACTCCTTACCACAGAATCTACGCAGCACGACTGGCTGCTGTTCCTCTGTGGTCTGCAGCTGTAATTCTGCCAGAGAAAAGTGCAGAAATGAGTTATGGTCGCTGCTTTGCTCCTGATGCTATAATTAAAATGACCAGGTTCAGGGCCGGCCGAGTGGCGCATTGTTAAGAGCTGGCTTGGGACGCCAGAGGGCCCTGGTTCGCATTCCACATATGAGGGCCAGTGACACTGCCCTCTACAGCTCAACCTGGAGTCACCGACAATGGCGTAGGCTGCAGCCACTGATGCAGTGGGTTGCCATGGGCTACCGTGTGTAGCCAGCAGCCAGCGTGAGCGGCCAGCAGCCGCCATGAGCAGCCGTCCAGAAGCCTGTGACTGATCTGCCTCGCCAGGGAAGAGCGCAACGATGGTGCCAACTTGGGCCAGTGAAGCAACGTCCTCCACAACTAGACTGAAGAACAAAAGGACAGCAACTTGTCTGTTCCCCTNACAACTAGACTGAAGAACAAAAGGACAGCAACTTGTCTGTTCCCCTTCCCCCAATTCCCCAGCGCTGTTCCCATCCCCCAATTCTCCAATAAAAATCTTTAAAAAAATAAAAAAAGAAAATGGCCAGGTTCAATATGTAAAATCTAAAGAAACCATTATCTGAATTCTAACAAAGATCACCCTACTTCCACTGTCAGTGAAGAAGAGAACTTCTACCTACTCAGGTCTGACAATCACAATTCAGGCACCACCCTGCTGAGAGGAGGAATTCAGGGCCACTCACTGAGCAGTGACTTCTGTCTGCAAGGCGGGTTGTGATCAGGGGCAGCATCCAAGGTAAGGGATCGGATTACAGTCTCACACACGAACTGAGTCCCACTCAGGTCATCTTCTGACTCCTCCATGGAAGCGATACTGTCAGCCTTCCTCTTTACTGACACTGTGGAATCTGAAAGACACGGACTTTGTCTACACTTTGGTGTTTAAAGTGTTGAGGAGCTTTCTGCAGTCGTGGACCCATGCTGATATTATGCCATGGAATAGCTGCTATCTATGCCATGTGGTGGTGAACAAACTTGAAAAAATGGGATGCTACAGAAAACCCATTCACACGCTAAGGTCAGGTTAGTAGGGGGGGTATGTATAAAAAACAGTGTGGTATGGAAGAGGGCGCAAGTACTTTACAAACATTTAACCCCTTACCAGGAAGTGCTTTAAATCCCGCCCCTTCACTCTCTTCCTGTATCTGCCCCAAGCCTGGCTTCTCTATTAAAGGACTGTCATGTGGCAGAGGAGACATGCAGGGAGTCATATCTGGAGAATGAAGACAGGAGAACCATCAACCAAGAGAAAGCATCACATCGTCAACAGTCAGTGTCCAGAAGCAGCGGCTCATAGGCTTCTTGCCTCCTGCAGGGCTAAAATAAACCCGGTATGCTTCAAGACCTGTTGTGAAGAATTTCTCCAGACTATTAGGTGTGCAAGTATCTCAGACAGATCAATCAGAGCAGGAAGGATCATAAGCAGTTGTTTGGCTTGGAAGGCCATGGCCAAGACAGGACTATGAATATAAAAGAACAAAGGAACACGAAATCTAGAGGAAAATGGAGAAGGGGGACCTTTTACGGTGGGGATGCCTTCCACAAACTTTTTCCCTGACAGACAACAGGGAAAAAGAGAAAAATGGACCCATGGGTGTAGTTTTAGTATCACATCCTGAGAGAAATTCTTGCCATCTACTTTCTCAGAATAAAATACTACCAGAATCGAGGCTGTAGTGCTTTTATGCCTATTAATAAAATAAACAAGGTGAACTGAGGGACATTCTTACCCACAGGGGTGTTGTGGGGCACTCTCTCCAACTCTTGGACAATGTTTATATCCAAAAGCTCAAAGGACAGCAGATCCTGGAAAAAAAAAAGGATGGGAGGGCAGTGTTAGGCTACCTGCAGTCCACACTGGAGCCATATTTTGTCTTGAAGGGACTTGCAGGCCATTGAGCTCCACACCATCCTAGATCAACTCTGTTCAAATTCATGACTCACTTCAATCAAGTGAAAACAAGAAGAGTTAAATGGGAACCAGGCATTCAAATAACGAAATGGCAGGAAAAAGAGAAAATGCAGTGGGGGAGGGGAACCTGTACGCAGAAATGAAGAGGCAACTAAAGGAAGTTGTGGCGAAGCACAAGATTCTCAATTCAAAGAGGAAACATTTGGTTTAGAAATTGCTTCCACAGATCTTGCGACACAGTGCATATGACTGATTTAAAGTAGGCACTGTTGCTAACTTTCTGGGCACCATCTATGGCTACACCACCTTCCCTTCAACAAGGTCAGGACTCTTTCCCCACTGCTTTCTGTCCCTTGCCCCTCAAAGTGCTCAGTCTTCCACCTGGGCAGTCAGAAGGTCCACAGATGGGATGTAGAGCTCCCTCTGGCTGGCAACATTTTTTGTCTTCTGTGGGATGCAGGTTCCTGTCCCTTCTGACTGCTCAGTTGCTTCACCAAGCTGAATTTCTTCTTTAGCCAGAAGAAAAGCTTCCTACAGAGACAAACCATGGGGACAAATTTTAGGCCCTGAACAGAACTCAAAAAGGCAAGCTGACAGTTGCCTTCCTAACAAAACACTGTTGCACCTCTACATGTTTTAAAACTTTTGTTCTGGTATAATTTTAGACTTACAGAAAAGTTGCAAAAATAGTACAGAGAGTTCACTTATCACCCCCTTCACCTAGATTCCCATAATGATAGCTTAGATTAACCATAGTAACAATACTCAAAACCAGGACATTAACAGTGGATAACTGAATTTAAACAGTAAACACTCTAAAAATAACATGCACAACTCATATAGGGAAGTTGCCTAAAACCAACCAACCAACCAACCAAACAGTGTACCAAGTAACAACCAGGGCAAGACTTTATTAGTACTTTGAGAACACACACAAGGGACACTCAGGAGAGATGAATGTTAAGCAGCAAAACCATCAGTCCAGCAGTTCCACAGGCCAGCTAGGCAGCCCTGCTTTCCCTAGTGCAGCAAAGAGGCTGGCGAGGCACCATAACAGAGAGATACACAAGTACTGAGGGATGCTGCACCAGATCCTAACAACACGCAAATAACGCCCCCAACAAGTAAGCCCAATTAAACATATCCACGTTTTGGGAGGAGGAGGAGAAGCTAGCCATTCCATATTTCTGAAAGAACGACCAGCGGTGAGTGGGCTCTTTTAGCTCTGGTCACACCCTCGAATGCTCACCTCTTGCTGGCAGGTGCGATCATCGGTTTTGCTTGAGCTGATCATGCCCTTTGCAACATTATCAGAGCTCTTGGTGGAGGGGAAAGGGTCCACTATGATACTGCACCAGACCCTAGGCCCAAACTGCTGGCCTTTGTGAGAAAGACGCCAATGGGAAGTGTACGTTCCCTCCAAGGCTGGGGCAATGAACTCCACAGACACAATTCCCACATGGCCGGCCTTCAAGCAAGGAACCAAAACATCCTTCTTTTCTGTAGAAGCCAAAGTTAGGTTTCCCCACATGAACTTGAGCTGAAAAGAACAGTGACAACAAAAAGAAAGCTTATCAGCTGAACACTCTGTCACTTCAGATCATTTCATCTTCACATTTCTGTGGGAAAAATACCTTTGTGTCTGTACTCCACTTTACATTTCCTGTATTTTTCATCCTCCAGTGTTTGATAAACTTGGTTCCTGGCTGAAGGTGAGTCCCATCAGGCAAATTCTCATCCACAAATGCTGCACTGAGGGTTGGCATAACTGGGGCACAGGGCTGCAAAGGGAGCCTTGAACAGAAAATTCAGATACTCAGTCACTTGCTGTTGGATGTGATGGCTTCTGAATATCCAACACTGGTTCAAGAGGCTGACTGTGACTCCTGAGGATGTGTAATGCATCTGCCTTAAAAGTAATACTAATAACTTTCAAAAAAATCAGAGGACAGATCTGACCCCTGAGCTAAAAAGCTACAGTGAGGATAAATAAAAGGGTCCATAAACAAAACAACCAGAGAGTCAGGCTCTTAAAATATTTGCTCCTTTTGGGTGGCCAGATGGCTCAGTTGGTTAGAGCGCGTGTTCTTAACAACAAGGTTGTTGGTTTGATTCCTGCATGGGATGGTGGGCTGTGCTCCCTGCAACTAGATTAAAAGCGGCGACTGGACTTGGAGCTGAGCTTGTGCCCTCCACAACTAAGATTGAAAAACAACTTGACTTGGAGCTGATGGATCCTGGAAAAACACAACGTTCCCCTTCCCCAATAAAAAATATTTGCTCCTTTTGCTTCAAATCCAGACTGCCTCCAGTGAAGAGAGGTCACACCAGCCAGTTCTGAACCTTACTGGTTTCTGTCTTTCTGAGGAAGGCAACAAAGCAAGTGTCAAAAATAACTACCTAACCACCCTTTAAGAATGCTAAGATCAGGGGCCGGCTGAGTGGTTCAGTTGGTTAAGAGTTAGCTTAAGAGTACAAGCTCTGAGCAACAGTGTCGCCAGTTCGATTCCCACATGGGCCAGTGACGCTGCGCCTGAGCTGAGCTGCCACTAAGCTGCCAACAGGCGGCAGGATGGCTCAGCTGGTGGGTGAGAGCACGTGCTCCTAACAAGACTGCCTGTTTGATGATGGGCTACGCCCACCCGCAACTAAGACTGAACTCGGCACCTTGAACTGAGCTGCCACCTGGATGGCTCAGTGGATAGAGCGTGCGCTCTTAACAACTAGGCTGCTGGTTCGACTCCCGCATGGGATTATGGCTACGCCAACCCACAACTAAGATTGTAACACAGCACCTTGAGCTTAGAGGCCACAAGCTGCCGACGGGCAGCCAGATGGCAACTGGCGCCCTCCACAACGAAGATTGAAGAACAACAACTTGTCTGGTCCCCTTCTCCAATTCCCCAATTTAAAAAAATTAATAAATAATAATAATAAAATAAAAATAAAAAAACAATAAAAAGAGAAAAAAGAATGCTAGGATCAGAGAATGGGAAGTTTTAAGGGTCAGGGTATTGGGGGCTGCCAATAAATAAGACAGAAGTTGGCTGAAGGTCCAATCTTACAGGGTTGGACCTCAAGTCTGGCTCCCACCCTGGCCCTGGGCTTACATCAGGGTGTTAGACTGCAGCAGGCTCTCAGGTCGGCCCAAAGGAGACTTGGGGCTCTGGAGTCCATGGATTGAATTCCATAGATGAATCTTCCTATGGAGTTTAAGCTGCTTTTTAAGTTCCTTGACCTCTGCTTTACGCTGTTTCTTCTCAGCTCGCAACCTTTGCTTTTCTGCTTTGAGAAAGTTCTTGTCAACCTGTTTCTGGAGCCTGAGAGATAACAAGTGAATCTTAAAAACAAGCCTCACAAATAATCTTGAAGCTATTTTGAGCCAGTTGTAGTCTCCATCAGTGTCAGCTTCCTTAACCTCTTCCTATAGTTCTCATTTCCATTTCATTAGCTTTGAATACTTGTCGCCATCACTGCACATCAATTAGAAATGAGCAGGAACTAAGGAAACTATTTGTAGTTTTGTGATTCACAGCCTGTCACCAGAACCAAGAAGCCAATCAGTGAACAAGCATCCCATGTACGTATGGTTTACCTGGCTTGTTCCAGAGCAGCAGGAAGACGAGGAGTAGAAAGTCGTGAGTGAGAGAACGGTTCAGAGGAACCCACAACAGGCCTCCGCAACTTTAGCAGGACATGATTGGAGTCGTGGGCATATGGCCTCGATTCACAATCTTCACAGATATTGTAGGATGGGCAGAGGCTATGGGGAAAAGAATGGCACAGTGAGAAGTTCCTGAGGTAGGGAGATATGAGAGCAGGCTTCCATATTTGCTCTATTACCAGCCAGATCGTAATCTGAGCATGCCACCCGACTATGCCATGTCTCAATTTTCCTCATTAATAAAATGAGGACAATAACACTTAACCTATATCTATTTCAAAGGACAATCTATGGGAGGAAGCAAGCTATGAAAGCATTTGGAATAACGGAGACAATGTTTGGTGATCTAATTTTGTTTTGGGGAACATAATTTGGTCTGGCTCTGCTAATTCCAATGTGTATCTGAACACAACAATCTGAATAGTTACCTTTCAAATAGTTATTTTTTGTTGTGGGTGAAGAATAGCTTGTTCGCAATCCAGAGCTGTTATGTGTGATGCTCACAGAGTACACCCAATTTCTCTTTACCTACCCTGAATGCCAGAAGGCCTGCTCTAAGGTCTACCAAGAGCTATTCGTTCCCGCACTGCTTACCTGCACTGGTAGCGCACACCAAAGATCCTCCTTTGGCAGCTGCTGCAAACAATATGCCAGTTGAACTGGTTTTCTGGCAAAAACAGTGTTTCCTCTGATGTAGGCATTGAGACTTCTGAAGGACAGGAACCCAGGGATGGGTTCTGGAGGACAAGTTTCTCATGTAATTTCTGTTCAAGCTTCTCAACTGTTTCTTTAACCACTTGCTCTCTGAACTAGAATACAGAGAAGTTGTTGTTGGGGGGGGGAAATCCCTCAGTTCCAATATTGGAAAAAGCATGAAGATATCAAATAGACCTGAAACCTCACCATGTCTGGTTTAAGAACATAATAAAACAGCTAACAGCTATGGAACAAGTGGACACAAACACAGCAAAAGGTCTAGTAGCTAAACTGGTTAAAAAAAACAACCAAGAAATCCTTTTGATGAGTAAATCTCCAACTTTTCCTTCTCAAGCATAGAGATTTGTCCCTTTCCATTACGAACATTCTTAAAATTAAACTCCTCCTTTTTCTGGTCCAGCACTGCACAAGTTAGGAGCTCTGTTGACTGGAACTGCTCTAGTTTGGAACTTATTAGCTATCAGAGGCAGCAGCCATCTGGGTTTGGCTTTCTATTTCTACCACATTCCACATATTGCTGCTAAAACTCAAGCCAGAGAGAACACTCACTGTCTCCAGGTAGCTGGTGAACCAGTCTGGGGGCTTGTCTTGAGGCTGGTCTGTATCACATGGAACAAGTGAAAACTGCTGCAAGAAAACACAATCCAAGATCTTGGAGGTTACTTTTATTTCTATTTAAAAGAAAACAGTCTTTGTGTCTCCCTATTTGCCCTCTCTAGGAGTACTAACTACTGTTACCAGTTTCAAAAAGTCGGACAGAGATGGTCACCATAACTCCCAATCTCCAATGACCAGTTCAAATTTTACACCAGAGACAATGAGACATGATATTAGAAAAATTGTCGGGACAGGTCCATTCCCTTCATACCTGTGCTGCAGGCTCCTCTGGGGTCTTCATGTCTGATCCCAGGACTCTCACCAGTGAAGAATAATGTGCTAGTGGCTTCTTGCCCGCCCTGGCAACTGGTTGTTTTTCTGCTACAGCTGGGGGTGGGGCTTCATCAACAACATGGTAGCCTTCATGGACTTGCATCTGCAGTTGGTTTCCCTGCTTAACTGCCATCTGAGAGCATACGTTATAAAATAAAAACATATCGTGTGTTCTCCTTCCCCAAATGAAAATTCAAAGAGGTGTGGTTAATTATGGTGGAAAATACGTTTTTTTTTATTAAATCAAATGACATATACCATGTTAATACTCAGCTTCCTGTTTTCTTTGCAAGAATGTTAACTAGGAATAGTTTTGTTATTAAAAACACAAAAATAGGTTTTTAGTACAGTACTTTACTAGGTGAGATGTTTTCATTAATTGGGTTGTTTTCTGTTTAACTGGTTTTTATGTAGGACTCCATTTATGGGTTTTAATTTCAACTTTTCAAAAAAGTCAATCCCAGACTACCAGAACCCAAGAAACTTAAAGCTATGTCCTATAATTAAGCATTTATTTTCCCCATAAGAATAGTATTTTGGAAAGCATGCTTAAGTGGTCACCTCTTTTTGAAGAGTATCTTCTTAAAAATCCTATTTTGAAAATTCTACTTCAAGGAGCATTTGAGGTCCATGAAAGTACTCCAGAATCGACGAGATTAGGGGTCAAGTCTATGGGGTTCTAGCTTCCCTCACTTGTGATCCAGTGACAAGAACTATGCTTTTATTTTACACATTAGACTTCTTAAGATTCCATTTTAAAACAGCATTCCACGGGGGCCGGCCCAGTGGCTCAGCTGGTTAAGAGCTTGCTCAAAAGTGTGAGCTCTGAGCAACAGCGGTTCGATTCCCTGACCCCCCCCCCAAAAAAACCACACACACACACAAAAAAACCCCAGCATTCCAGGGCAAATAAGTTTGAAAGACATTATTTACATCAGGGATCAGTAAACTTTTTAAAGGGCCACATAAATATTTTAGGCTTGCAGGCCATACCATTTGTATCACAATTGCTCAACTCTGCTATTGTAACACAAAAGCAGCCACAGACAATACAGAATGAATGGCATGGCTGTGTTCCAGTAAAATTTTATTTATAAAAATATATGGCCAGCCCACTGGCTATAGTTTGCCAACCCCTATTCTAGACCATAAATCAAGAAGCTTTTAGTAAAATGTGTGGAAGAGACTATGGAAAAAATTGCTCAAGAAATGACTATTATGAAATGTTACCAAATATAAACATGGGATCTTAAGTATTAAATAGTATTTTATATTTATTCTACATACATACATATATATATATATATATATATATATATATATATATATATATGGTCTTATTTTGTGGGGCAATACAGGCTTATATAAACTCTAGACTCCTGAGGACCAAGATTTCTGACTGATTAGGTAAACTAATAGTGACTGTGCGAAAGGCAGAGAGTTTTGAAGATCTTAGACTTTTTTTTTAGTGAAACTACTATAGCTTCTTAGAACAGGGAAAGAGAAAAGCCAGGAAGTTAGAAAAGAGTAAAAGGGTGTGGGGGACAGCATGTTAGAACAGCTTACAAGCAAAAAGGAAACAGGAAGCCCATATGAAATTGGGGCAGAGGGAAATTATGAAGCATGAGAAATTATTAACAGAGCTGGGTATCCTAACTAAGAATCCAGGGACGGGCCTGCATATCCAAAACCAAGAGACTAGCTGGTAAGTAAGGATTTCTGACTAAAAATCAAGACGACATTGGCTAAACTGTTGAAACCAGTGTCACCCAGAATAGCAATTTTGACCAGCAACCAAAAGGGTAAATGTAGCTCCCAATTACAAAAAAAAATCTTGCCTTTCCCTCCCTAGACCAAGTGATTTTTGGAAAATAGCTTAGTCTTGGACTAGAAGTTCATGAAGGGTTGTCAAACTTTAAGGAAAAGACTTCGTTACAAAGGTGGTAATGAAAGTCGACAGATGGTACACCTTAAAGAAGCAACCTCAAGGAATGCTTCTTTGTAACTGGATGCTTTATACCTTAAATTCTCCCACATTATACCACAAGGTAAAGGAGATGACAAATGTCAACCAGAAAGCATCATTTCAGAGAGTTCTTTGTATTTCTCTAAGTGTTATGATGGTGGCACCAAGACCAGCAATAAGATGAACAATAACTAAAAAGAACTTTTATTAGGAGCTGCCTTTTGCTGAGTGGTATGCCCTATTCATCACAGTTTCCCCCAAAATAGGTTTTGCTGTATTTGTATTCATTAGTCTCTCCCCATGGCTAATGAATTCATGTTCAAGTTTTAGTCAATATTTATTTGAAAATAAGATGCAATAACCATTACCTTAAGTGCTTCTTCATACTCTCCTGAAAGAATAAAAAATACACAGTGATATTTTTTCACCAGCCCCAAAGATTCTATCAAGTATAGCCAATCCTTACTTTTAAGAATTCTTAGCTTACAATCTTTATACATAAACAGCTACTGCCTTTTTGCTGACAAACTCCCTTCTCATCCCATTGTAAACAGAAGCTACTTGCAGGTTAGTTCTCCCTAAATCCCTCTCTCTGTGCCAGTGGAGCTTTCCAGTTACGAAACCTCCACCCAGTTCCCTCACACTAGGCTTAGGGAGGAGCTCAGGACTCAAGGGAGCTTATAGGTAGTGTTAACCATATTTCAGCTGGTTAAAATAAGCTTTGGGGGGCTGGCCTGGGTACTAAACTCTAAATATAACATTGTTCCTGTGAGAAAATGCACTCCAACCTCTGAACAATCTCCTAACTTATAAACACATAACTTCTAGAATACCACTTGTTGACAAACGGACATTAACATTCACCAAGTCAGAAAGAAATGCAACACCAGGAGAACAAGTTGAACTGGGAGGCATATTTTCCGAAGATTAGCATCTTAAATACAAGAAAACCTCCCATTAGAGCTGTCCTTAGGCTCTACTCAAAGGCACTGAACTATATACAAAAACTGCTAGAAAATAAAAATCTGCTATGTAGCTAATGCCCATGGATGAGTGAATACAATGTCAATTTACTATATACCAAAGTCTACTCTAAAATGAATACTGTAACAAGGTTCAGTGTAAATGAAAATGTATACGCCCATGAACAGATGAAGGCTTTTAACTCACCTTGACTGTTGATGGATACCTGTAAAAGGAAAAAAGCAACAGTGAAGTATAAACCTCTCATCAATTGAGCATTTCTGTTACTAGAACCAGTCTCATAGGACATATGTAAAACCTCAGGTTAGGGTTTCAGCTTTTGTAGTATCAGGAACTAGTTGTGACTAATAATTATGGAATCTTATTGCTTAACTACTGTATTCTCCTTTACTTCAGGTACATTAAACAGCAGCATAATAATAGTGTTAGAAGCCAGAGGGTATGGGATGAACCCCTACTCTACTATTTCCAAGCTTTCGTGACTTTGGGCAAGTTACTTAACCTCTCTGTACCTCAATTTCCTTATGGGTAAACAGAGATGATAATAATGTACCTAACACATAATATTATTATTAGACTAACACATTGTAACCACTCGATAAGGGTCTGCCATGATTTTTATTATTATAAATGGCAGCTTGTGATATATTTTAACTTGAAATCACTATAGAGTTTAAAAAGTTATCGCTCAGATTTTCTTCAATGTTGCTTTCCTATTTCTCAACTCCATCTCAGATGCCACAAATCAGCTTAGAACACCCAAGTATCAAATACATTTAAACCACTACATAAATGAGGTAAACACTATCCTGAACTTTTTGAGCCCTACACCAGTCTTGTGACATAAGATCCCTACTTTGGAGACCTGGTCAAGGGTACCATAATATACTTTACCTCTTCATTTTCCTCATCCAGGTATTTTATTTGAATAGTGTTCAGATCAAATGAAACTTTTACCTGCAAATGAAATGTATACACTATATGATCAAGATATCAAAAAGGTAGTTTGTAACAGAAACCTGTAAGTCATAAAACATAGCATAGGCATATTTTGCTACATAAAAATGAAACATTTTGGTGTAAAAAACACCAAAAACAAAGGCAAAAGGCAAACAATGGACTGGGAATAATATTTGCAAATTATAACAGGCACAGGGTTAACATCTATAATACACAAACAGGATCTGCAAAACTGCTAACATAGAATTAACAACCCAGATAAAAGTGGGCAAAAACATGCAGAAATTTCATAGAAGAAATCAGATATACCTAACAAACATATGAAAAGATGTTTAACCTTAATGGTAGTCAGAACAATGCAAATTAAAGCATGAGATGTCATCTCAACATAATGGCAAAAAAAAAAAAAATTAAAGCCATAATATCCAATGTTGTCAAAACTTTAGAGCACTGTCATATATATTGTTGTGAGGTGCTACAATTGTTCGGCAAAGCACCTGGCAGTATTCATTAAAATTTAAAATCACATGTCTTGTGACCCATTAATCTCACTTTGGGAAACTTTATCCTATAGAACAGTGTATAAGTTATATATACAAAGAACTATCCCCTGTAGTTTCTTGAAGTGGTTAAAAAACAAATAAACAACCTTTTGACCTTGAGGGCATTATGCTAAATGAAATAAGTCAGACAGAGAAAGACAAATATCATATGATTTCACTTTATACACAGAATCTTAAAAACAAACAACAAACTCAGAGATACAGAAAACACATTGGTGGTTGCCAGAGGCAGGGGGTGGTGAGTGGGTGAAATGGGTGAAGGTGGTCAAAAGGTACAAACTTCTTTCTAGTTATAAAATTAGTAAGTCTTGGGGATGTAATGACTAGATGGTGACTATAGTTAGTAATACTGTATTGTATATTTGAAAGTTGCTAAGGGGGTAGATCTTAAAAGTTCTCAAGAAAGAAGATTGTAACTATGTGTGGTGATGGATGTTAACTAGACTTATTGTGGTAATCATTTCACAATACATATAAATATAGAATCATTATGTTATACACCTGAAACTAATATGTCAATTATATCGCAATTTAAAAAAAACTAGAAACAATCTTGCAATAAGGTATAGTTAAATTATAGTACAATACCAATAATACTGTGGACAATCTATAGCTTTAAAAAAAATGAGCTTGGATCCTTATCTATTCATTGAGAACTATGTCTAGAATATATTGTTGGGTAAAAAAAGCAAGCTGCGGTATAATGTTTATAGTATGACTATCTATATGAACATAAGAAATGTGGGTAAGTACATACAAGGTTGTTAACATTGGTTACCCCAGAGAGGTGGGAATAGTGGATGGTGGGAGGGGGTGTGGAGGGATATTAACTTTTTCTTTATATGTTTGGATTATTTCACTTATAATGGGCACATATTACGCTTTTATAATTTAAAATTTACAGTAAAGAAAAAAGGCAAGCTGTCAGCTCATTTAACTACAATATTAGAAAAAAAGAAAGTGTCTGATTTTCAGATCATTTGACAAACAAGATCCAGCTTTCTGGATAACCATTTGTCTAGGACAGTATAAAAAAGTATTTGCTGAAAGACAGAGGACTAGATCAGACAACCTTTTGCAGTCTCTTCACCATTTCTTTTCATTTTTAGTTACCATACACATAACCAGGTAGAAAGGTTTTACCAAAGGGTTTTTGTTAGATAAACAGTGATACAGGAAGTAAAACATTCACTACTGCAAACCAAACACGAGTACAAAGGGCAAACTAAAAAAATAAAGAAAAGGGAATAAATGAGCTGCTGTCTAAGCACTTGTAGGAGTTTTGTTTTGTTCAACTTTTAGATACTCAGCCTCTGACCTAGCAATAAAAGCAATCGATCGGTTCTTGCAAAACACAAGTTATATAGACCCTTGGTGGTTTACAAACCACAGTAACATATTTGCTCTCAGGCAAGAGAACATTCCTCTGGGGGCTGGTAGGGTGGGGCCCGCACCAATTCATTCCTCAGACTGTTTCTAAAATTAATAGGTTTTCCAAGTCCTATCTCACTTAAAAAAATAACTTTACTTTTTCTTTCTGAACTCTCAAAAGGAATTTATTTCTTTGTTCCCTTTATCAGGGCACATCTCCTATATGAATACAGAACCCTTGTCAAATGTAATTTTCCAAAAGGCCCAGAAATGGTAAATATGACAGACTTTGCAGCTATGAAACAACACTGCTAAAAATAGCTACACTCTGGGGGCGTGGGGGAACTCTACGGTAAAAGATTGAGAAATAAAACAAAGTTAACACTCACCATAGCTTCCACATCAGCCCAAGTTGTATTTTCTGGATCGGAAACCAGAAAGCTTTGAGTTTCACTTTTAAAAGTCACATTTAGAGTAACCTGTGGTTCCATGCTGTGGGGCTAGAGTTGAGAGGATGGGTAAGAGAGAGAAAACACATTAGAAAGGGTTGCGTATAAATTGCATAAACATATATTCAACAAATACTTATGAGGACTTAATACAAGCTGGGCTGAGCTAGGAGGTGACAGTAGTGAATAAGACAATGTCTCTGCTCTTCTACTTACAATCTAGTGGGTGGTTTAAAATTAATCTCAAGGTCAAATGTTTGCTGAGAGAATGTAAATTTTGGCCATACCCAAGAAATCATTTAACATTTATAAAATCCTTTAGGATTTTCTGAAGCTTTATAGTGATTGGTTAAACACATACCTACTACCTGCTAGTAGCAGGATACCATATACATAAATCAGATTAGGTCTCCACCCTCAAGGAATTTAATTCTTATTAACTTGAAAGCAACATTCTACGTTTTTCTTGGAAAAGCAGCTTTTTCCTAAATTGAGAAACACATGTTCTCTATTAGATCAATTTTAACAATTTAGATGCTAAAACACTACCCAGAAAACTACACTGGGGTAGCATTCAACACCCTTCATCCAAGTTCATCTGTTTTTTGTAGTCTACTTTTTTTTATGGAGAATTTCAAACATACATAAAAGTGGAGAGTAATGAACACTTAATTACAAAGATCACCTTGATTGTTACACTTACTTCATCTACACCTCTGCATATCTCCCTCACTATGTGGTCTGACTGTAGTCATTAATGTTTTAACCAAAATATAGTAATCTTATTTTTTAAAAATGATAATTATGGGCCAGCCGAGTGGCGCGTTGTTTAAGAGTTGGCTTGGGACGCCAGCTCTGAGCAGCAGGGCACCGGTTCAGATCCCACCTGAGGGCCAGTGACGCTGCACCCTCTACAGCTAAGATGGTGAACAACAGCTCGACCTAGAGCTGGGCTGCCGTGAGTCGCCGGCAATGTCATAGGCTGCAGTGCAGTTGCAGTGGGCTGCTGTAAAGCTACCGGAGTGGCTGGCAGCCGGCGTGAGCTGCCAAGAGCTGCCATGAGCAGCCGTCCAGTGGCCGGCGACCAATTTGCCTCATCCAGAAAGAGTGCAATGATAATACCAACATGGGCCAGTGAAGCGACGTCCTCCACAACTAGACTGAAGAACAAATGGACAGCAACTTGTCTGTTCCCCTTCCCCGATTCCCCAATGCTGTTCCCCTCCCCCAATTCCCCAATAAAATCTTTTTTTTTAAAAAGATGATTATGGGAAAATTTAAACCTATAAAAGAGATTGATATTTAATAAACCTCTATGGACCCATCAGCTATCTTCTATAATTAACATCAACTCAGGACTAATCTTGTTATAGCAATACCTTTTTTTCCTACAGGATTACAATAAAGAAAAAAGGCAAGCTGTCAGCCAGCCAGCTAGACAGACAGCAATCATTTCATCTATGAAACAATTAGCTATGTATCTCTAAAAGACAATAACTTTAAAAAATATAGCCACCATGCCATTATCATGCCTAAGAAATTAACAATTCCTTAACTGAATGTGTATTCTGGTCAGTTTTATTTTAGGATTTTGTTTACTGATGAGTTGCTAGGTTGGTTTTGTTTTTATGACTTTATGAAAAAATAGTTCATTTAAATCTAAGCTGTAATGAAAAATGTCAGCTTTTAAACATGTTCACTGACAAATCTTTAATAAGCAGCTACAAGGACCAGATTCTGATCCAGGCACAGGAGACAGATGAACAAGATTAAGTCCCAGGAGTTTATAGTGTAATGGGAGAGGGAACACAAAGGTTGGAAAAAGCTGAGTTCCAGACTCAGCTCTGGCACATTACTAGCCATATAACTGAGCAAGTCATTTAACCTCTGAGCTTTAGTTTCTTAATCTGTAAAATAGGTCTACTATCTGTTTTCACCACCTCACAATTTTATCATAAGGATTATATAAAAATGTGTATGCAAACTTTTTAAAAATGTTACTCAAACATAAAAATTACTATTATAATAAATCAGTCTTTAGAACTTAAAATAGTCCTGTTTGCCACAGTATAATGCACTGCCTGTGAAACAATACAACTGACACTGTCATTAAAAGGACACACAAGGTCTGAGGATCAGGGATCTTTTTAAAATCCAAAGACAATTATCCCCCCATATTTTTCCATTTTTTGTCTCTACCTACAACCAAGTTCACCACCAAAATAATACTGGTTTCTAGCACCAACCCTGCTGACATCTAGTATTCATTCATTTGAAATACAATTCTTGGTTGGGGTCCTTAAACCTTGGACAGAATTCCTGTCAACGCCACAGAATCTTGGGCAAAATATCAAGGAAATTAAGTGACTGATTCAGTCCGCCAAAGTGGGTACTCTGAAATAGTCTCACTTTTCAACTTCAGAGAAACACACTTCCACACTTTTCAGAGTCCAGAAGGAAACTAATCTTCCTCTCCTTTTCTCAAATTACACAACTGGAAATTAGTTTAGATACTTTGGAGCTCATCCAGCTGGTCGGCTGATGAGAAAACAGGAAGTGGGGGGAGGTTAGATTGGCTGGATCATAAAGAACTGCCTATTTCCGTTTGGCTTATAGGTGAGAATTCTTTTAGCAGGAGCATTAATCTCGAACTTGTGGAAACACCAACACTATGGTTAGGCCTATCTGTCCCTGTAGCTTTAAAGCCAGTCAAGTCAGGAAGCTGGGGCCTGGGCCTTCAGCTTTCATAACTGGCATTATTATAAGTTCACGCCACTGACTCACCTTTGCTTGGCACAAGTCAGCTTTTCCTCTATGTCGATTTCTTCAGGATACGAAAAATCCCTTTAATGAAGCAGACCTGGGGACCTGAGCTTTGATTACTGTCTCCAACAGCGGCATCTACAAGTTATTCCATTAAAATGTGTGACCTGAAAGCTGGGTGTTTGACAAAAACGAAAAACGGTGCCTTTCTAACTCCAGAGATCCCTGACCAGAGACTTCTTTATGAGGGTCTCAAAAAGCAGAGGGGGATGGGGTGAGGAGGCTGTGTGGGTAGTGTCATTTTTTTTTTCTTGCAGACTTTATCCCAGTCTTTCAGTTATCGTTTCCTAGCACTCCATGTCCCCAAGACAGTGTCACCACCCCCTAAGGACTCTTGTTTTTTGTGCCTAGGCCCTCTTTGTGCCGCGGAGTCTCGGCCCTCCATCAGGAGAAGCGGGCGTGCTAAGCCACCGACCCCACATCCCCCAGGTGGCATCTGCCCCCTTCCGCTCCTCAGAACACGAACGGCTCTCCTACCCGGTCACTGAAAAGATCGACTGCCCCCAGACACGGAAAAAGTCGCCCCTCTTTGAAGGATTCCTCTTGAGCTTCCCCAAATCCTCTCAGTGCGACGTGAACCCACCCGTAGGTAACCGCAGCGGCTTTCTTACCAGCTTCCCGCCCCCCGGGGGGCGCCTGCCGGAGGTCAGTGCAGAGACCGTACGCTGCCAGCTCTGCTGCTATCCCTGCGGGTTGAATCTAACATGGCGGATAGAGACAGGGCCTAGTCCCCTGTTTCTCTGTGTTTCCGACAAAATGATTGGCTCTTACCACTTGTCCCTCAAAATTACCATCCTATTGATTGGCCGAGGATGCATTAGCGGGGGCGGGGCAACAGCTGCCCGAACTGCACAACAATAACAAACATTGGGTCCGAAGGGCGGAACTACGAGTGCGCCCCGGTGGGCCGGGGCCGATTTCCCTTTCCTAGGTAAATTCGGTGCCCGCTGCGTTCCCTTAAGTCACTGACCTGAGAAGACTACTTACCCGAGACTACCGTGGCTAGATGGGAATTGTAGTCTTCCTAGGACTTGTAGGTTCTTTCTTATTCTCCGCTCTCAAGGTACGAAAACATAACATTCCAACCCATATCTGTTGACGAACATAAGCGTGCGAAGCTTTTCAATCTATCAACTGGATTGCCCATAGAATCGTGCCCCCTGCTGGTGTGGAAAGCTCCTCTCCATCAGACTGGTTTCCAAGGAACACTGACGAGGGCCTTTCGATCCGCAATGCATGCTGGAAATCGTAGTTTTTGCCCCACAATCCATTTATGTTCCTAAACTAGACTTCCATTGCAGCGGAAAGGGTTAGGGAACGGGGCCTCTTCCGGCAAGTGTTGTAGGCACTATCTTGCACTCATATTCGGGCCTCAGTGATTCCCACCCTGGTACAACAATCTCTGTGACGTAAAAAGCCGCCACCGGAATCGTAGAGGTGAGGGGGCGGGAGCCTAATGAAAAACTGAGAGAGAATTCCTTTTCTTGCGTCTCTTTCTAATTACGTAACTCAGGGAAAGACTAGATGACCAATCGGGAGCCCTGACAGGCTCGGCTTTTTCTGCTCCGCCTTTCCGTAACGTGTTTCGTTCTCGCATTCTGAGTGGCTCTCGCTCAGCCGCCGCGGCCGGTTTCCATGGCAACGAAAAAGTGCGGGAATTACGGATAAATTAAAACTGCGACTGCGCTGCGCGCAAGCTCGCTGAGCTTTCTGGATAGAGGACAGTCCGGGGGTCTTTTCAGATAACTGGGCCCCTGGGCCTGGGAAACCCAGACGCTTTGCTTTGGGTAAAGGTGAGAAAGACCTGGGGAAGGGAGAGGGGACCAAGGGGTGCTTCGGGGAACAGACGAGAAACAGGTGTGGAGACAGTAAGGGAGAGTGAACCTCTGAAGGAGAGCAAGATGGATGTTATCTGGCAGGGGCGGGCGGAAAGGAAGCCTAAGACCTCACGGGAAATCGTGGGGAGGGGTGGAGGGAGGCACCACGGATAAGGGTGTGGGGGCTGGGTGTGTCCATGGGGAGTACTGGAATGTGTCTTGAAGGGGACACCATAATAGGCTGGTGTATATGAGAAAGGGAACCTGAGGAAGACGGGGCAGGAATGTGTCTGGGAAGAGGAGACAGAATTTTGCTGGAGGGATAGCTCTTGAGAAGTGGATTCACATGCGTTTCAGAGAAGAAACAAGATAAAGTAGAGGGGCGTCAGTAGTCACAGATGCTGTTGTCATGGATGTGCCTGAGGATCCTAAGATGAGTGCAGGCCATTGGGAAACGCTGGGGAAAGACAAGGGTGGGGAGCCTTGGTTGGTGTTGGTTTTGGTTTTAAGCAAGAAAAAGAAAATGGCCAGGATGATTGGAGAAACCTGAGGCTACCACCATTCACCCAGTCACCCCACTGTAGCTTTCTCTTGCATGGAGAAAGGAAAACACCAAAAGAAAGGGGTTGGAAGCTATATGTGAAAAAAAAAAAAAGATAATGTAAATGGTCTTAATTACAAAAAGATTTTGTAATTATAAAACCTTCGAATTAAAAAAAGCTTTTGTCATTAGTTCTGTGGTTAGTATACATCTAAAGCACTCCAATTTTAAATTTCTCTCATTTTAAAATGGCATTTAATGAAACTATGCTGTTTTTATAAATATTTTAAAGTGACTTATTTATATACATACATTTAAGTTTATGTGTTAAAGTTTGTTGTAACAGGACGAAATGGATTTATGTGTGGATCGCGTTGAAGAAGTACAAAATGTCCTTAATGCTATGCAGAAAATCTTAGAGTGCCCAATCTGGTAAGTCAACGGAAGAATTTATTTGAGATTCTTTTTTATATGATTGTATCCTATGCAAATGAATAGAATTGACCTTAAAAAAATTAAAATGTCTGTTAAGATTAGGCTATTAAAGTTGCTACTTTTCTTAACTGAAGAGATTTAAGAATATAGAAAATTAATCCTTTTTCTCCACTCTGCTTCTCCCCTTCCCTTTCTACCACCGCAAAACACACAGAGCCACCTGTCTTTCCTAGTCAACTAATTGTTTTGGTTTTTGTTTTTTTTTAAGATTTTATTGGGGAATTGGGGGAGAGGAACAGACAAGTTGCTGTCCTTTTGTTCTTCTAGTTGTGGAGGATGTCGCTTCACTGGCCCACGTTGGTATTATCATTGCGCTCTTCCTGGGTGAGGCAGATCGGTCGCCCGACTCTGGACGGCCACTCACGGAGGCTCTTGGCAGCTCACGCAGGCTGCTGGCCACTCAGGGTAGCTTATGGCAGCCCACTGCAGCACGGGCTGCAGGCTATGCCATCGCCGGCGACTCACAGCATCCCAGCTCCAGGTTGAGCTGCCATTCACCATCTTAGCTGTCGAGGGCAGTGTCACTAGCCCTCATGTGGGATCCGAACAAGGGCCCTGCTGCTCAGAGCTGGCATCCCAAGCCAGCTCTTAACCAACACGCCACTCGGCCAGCCCTCCACAAATTGTTTTGATTGATTCTACATTGGGGCAGGGATCTGGTTTGGATTAAGTGGCACTTGGACTTTTCATCCAGCTCTAAAACCAACTTGATCACTTTGAATGGACATACTTAATAATGGCAAAGAAAATCAGGAATGATTGGTGCCTGTGAGTGGGTAGGTCTTTGGGAGAACCTTTGAAACTAGCCTTGTGTATTTAAGAATACTGCAAGTCCTCAAAGCCTTTAGCAAGTTTCTTCCTTTTTGAGTGAGCCATTGTTTCTCTTCATCTGTAAAATAAAGAGGGGACTAGAATATTCAAGTTAAAAATTTGACATGTAATTTAAATACAGTGAAATGAAGAGATCTTAAGTGTGCACGTATGAGTTTTGACATATATATAGTCTGTGTAACCCAGTCAAGATACAGAACATTTCTATTACCCTGGAAAGTTCTCTTGTGTGTATTCAGCTCTTAACTTGCCAGCCTTCCACAACCCTTGGAGGCCTATGAATATAACTATTTCAATACAATTAGTTTCTTATATAATTTTATATTTTTTTATTTTATGCATTTAAAAGCATACTTTGGGGAGGTGGTTCATGAGCTTCATCAACTGCAAAAGGGGGTACATAGCACAACAAAGGTTATGAACCTCATCAAGCAGCCTCTAGATGATCTCTGTGGTATCTCTCAAATCTACAAAATAAATGAAAAACCATACCTCAATCTCTTGGTGAAAAGCCAGAAAGGAAATTTGGAAGAATTATTGCCTATCCTCTCCCCTCTTACCCTCTTTACTCTGATCATTTTGGCCTCTTAACTGTTCTTCAGACTTGCAACATATTCTCCTGCCTCTGAGCTTTTATGCTTGTTGTTTCCTCTGCCTAGAATGTTCTTCCCTCAATAATTGCATGGCTTGCAAATGTTGATTAAAATACCACCTTTACAAAGAGGCATTTTCAGACAACGCTGTTTAAAATTGTAGCACCCCCATCCCCAACATACTCCTTATCCTCGTTTCCTGTTTTATTTATCTCTATAACTCTTATTACTATCTGACATTCTCCCTGTGTATATAACATCCTTTTTCTCTATCCCCACAGAAGATAAACTCCATGATGGCAGAGGTCTTTTTTGTTTGTTAGTTTTGTTTTGTTTTTTGCAGCGGTTTTTATTTGTATTGTTTACTTCCGTATCCTCAGTAGTTAGAACAGTACCTGGGACATAGTAGCCACTTGGTAAACATTTGTTGAAGATATTAAATAATAAACTAAATTGGTTCTTTGATAGTTTAGTGGTTTTTAATATGGTGATGGTTAGTGGTGGGTCACATTGAAAAAAGTAATTTGGAAAGCTGCACCTACTGCTCCTTACCTTCAATAAAGGAGAGTAAATTTAAGTAAATTTTCCTTTGTGCATCATGGAAGTTGTTTTTCATATTTGGAGTCAAGTAAATAAGATTAAAGAAAACGCAAGTTGTGTTTTTCAGAGATACAAAATTTATAAGTAACCCCTCTCTCTTGCCCCTCAACATTTCAGCCAAACAAAAACAAGAGCTAAATGAAATTTACAGCCTAATTTATGAAACATCAGAGGCAGAAAAGCAGGAAATGGCAATTGGGAGGAAAATTGCTTTTGAAAAAGCATTAAACTTACTCATGATAATCAGAAAGAGTGATCAAAAAGTCCTCAATAGTGTGGCACTTGGGTCCATTTATTTTGCATTTCCACAGAACTCAGTCATAAAAATGTAATGTTCTTTCTCTTTCAGGCAAATTAAACCATCAATTAAAAAACTCAGATACATAAAAAATAAAAATGTGAATGAAATGAAAGTTAATGTTAGATTTTCATTTCAGTCAAATATTTTGTATTTTACAACTTATTTTTTAAAAATCTGTTTCCTATTGGAAACAGACTTAGGTTTTTATTTATTTATTTTTTATTTTTTTATTTTTATTTTTTTTATTGGGGAATTGGGGGGTTGGGAACAGTGCTGGGGAGTTGGGGGAAGGGGAACAGACAAGTTGCTGTCGTTTTGTTCTTCAATCTAGTTGTGGAGGATGTTGCTTCACTGGCCCAAG